TTGCCACCAGAACAGGCAAGAAGACATTGGCCGATATTTGAAAAGACGATAATTGGGAAAACGTCGGAAAAATTTCAAGACAAGACCAGCATCGCTGCGATTTGTCAACTTGTGTGCGGCTGTGTGCATCAGACCAAAGTACGACTGCTGATACCTCTGCGACAGACGGTCTAACGTCGAAATCTGTGCAACCACTTTGAGATTCCGGCCAACGAGTGAGAGAAAAAGATTCTGCTCAATTTTCAAAAAAAAACGCAGCTGCTTTTTTTTCAAGACGGATTCTAACGGCGCCTGAGAGTGTCTCATTGACCATTCCATTGTGTTACCGATTACGGCGGTAACGAAGCATTAGCAGAGTGCAAAAATTTTGGAATAAATTCAACTTTATGGCGCACGGTGACGAAAGTTGAAAGTAGGTAATGCTATGCAATTTTCAACACGCAATGAAAAGTCCCGGTTACTTGGCGCATAACTAGCTTAATACTTTATTTCACTTAACTACTCCGGCATATGAACATATTTCGATGTTGATGAGGTAGAATATAACGAGTACCAGCGCCTGAACCATCGTTCGTAATGGAAGCCAGGTGATCCCAGCGAATCAAATGATGCGAGATGGATCTTGCACGGCAGATGCTCAAATACCATGGAGTCGTGGCTTGCTTAAATAACCCTCTAAGGGTCACTCGCCTTTCCTCCTCCGGAGACTGATCTAATTTGTGGGGGGGAGGGCAGGAACGGGAGGTCACGCGCTGTGCTTGCCCCGTGACTATAAACTGCTCTTAAAATAAGGAATTCCTGACTGATGGTAGAAAAACGGAGATCAGCAACGCACCATCAACTTGATGATCAGAAGGACGCCACAATGGTCCTATCACTAAAATGTTAGGATGACCGATATTCCGAAGGTTAGAAACTTTAAAGAAAGCAAAACATGCTGCCTATGGTTGTGGAGTTTTCTTACTAGTTGCTCTATGCAGCGGCTCTTTGTCATAGTATCTCGGCTATAACGATTCTGTGTTGATCGAAGTATAATGTACAATAGGTAACTTTAAAACTGCATAACAAAAGCCTGCTTGCTTCTATATGAATTTTAAATAAGTTTGCATCTCTGCTGCCCTTCATAAACTGAACCTCACGTACACGTCATGGAGGGTAACACCTAAAGTACGGAAATACAGAATGACGCTTTGAGACGATTTAGAGTAGACTACGTTCTAACAGCAGCTACGGCGACCATATTTTACTGTAGACTTCAAAACTGTTCTCAAGGCAGCTGCACCAGGAGCTGCCTGAACACTTCATGGATTAAAGAGAAATTGGTCTAAGAGAGGAAAATTCTCACTACAAATTTTTAACATAGAACTGGGGCCACAGTCCGTCTAGACCTATTTTTGAAGCGAACATGCTGAGTCTGATGTCGTCTACCTTTAAAGCGACGACAATTTATTCTACGTCGTTTAATTTAGTCACCATCGAGAAACAATTTATCCCGATGGCGTGCCAGTCGATTTTGCCAAAATGAGAGTAGCAAACTCACAACCTGAAGATTACGGGCAGGCATGCCAAAATTTACGATTTTGAAAGAACGTAGCATTTGTTAATTCGATACATTGTTGCCATGTACTGTAACCTACCCTTCCGCTACATAAGGCATCGCTCCATTGCGAGGATAAACCACCGGAAGGGAGGTATCTCTGCCCCAGTTCACCAAGGGAAACGCCGGGAAACCAAAGCCTTACAGAGCTATAACCTGGAACCATATTTAGCCAAAGTGAAGGGCAAACGGATGTTCTCTCAAAGATGACCGGCAAAAGTGAAAAGCGGCCAAAACCATTTGTCAAGATCGAATGAAATGAAGAGTACAAACAGGCGTTGCCTCTAATCCTTAGCGTGCAACTTATGTTGAACTTCGACGGACTTCATCACAGGACTGACGGATGAGCAATGGATTTCAACATGGTAGGATTGATACCCGTGGGCTACAGGCACCCAATTAGAACACCTTGGCTCAAATGGGACGGTGAACAAAAAGAAGAATACAGAAATTGTGGGGCAGGCTCGCATGAGACAAACGAACAGGGGCGTCGGAACTTGGCTCTATTGATCCTCGTCAATTGTTGTTGCAACCTAACTAATAACAGACCTTATCGCCAGCACTAATGGACAACCTGAAATTGAAAATTACGAAAGATATTCCTGTTTATGACATATAAGGTTCAGTGATCTAAAATAAACCATTTCGATAGAAGCAAACTTTAGTAGCAAAAAGTAAAGGCAAACATTCATTAAAACGGCCCAGGCAGAATGAGATCAGTAAAGTTGGGAAAAGTCCAACGGGATTAAAGATATAGATTATAATGGCACCATACTTCGGCTGGCGTACGGATTTCAAGCTTGAAATATCAAAGCTCAGGAAAAACCGGTGTTACACAGGAGAAATGAGAGAAACGATTTCTGGATTAGGCAGTATAAGAAAGGAAGGAAAGTGGAATAACTGTTACAAAAGCGACAAAGTTTTCTTAAAGGTTTTTAGTCAACACTGAGCTGAAGCAATTTCGACGAAACCGAAGAATTGAAGGAAACTTGCTTTGTTAAACGTTTCAGCTATTTTGAATTACTTACCTGCTCGCTGACCTTCTCCCTGGACACTGATCTTCGCAGCACCTGTGCTGTCGCATTCACGTCCGTCACCAACGCAGCCAGCGTATCGACAATGACATTTTTGCCTGAAATATTTCACCGTCAGAACGGAGTTCAGCTCGCACAGTCACTTAAAATAATCATATAAACAACATATAGTCATAGATGAAATATCAATTGGGGCGTTCTGTCAGTGTCGTAACAGAACCTCTGAAAGAGAAGCTCTGAATATGGGGAAGACGTTAAAAGTATGATCACTTTAGGCCATTTATCTGTGCTTGAACTTCGGTGTCCCTTCAGAAGGGTGCGCTGCGAATCACTTACGTTGCCCGGAAGAATCCATAATCGACAGACGTCGGTTTAAAACTTACGGATACGCTAATCTGAATGTTACAAACGCACGCACGGATACAGCGGATTTCGATGCAGCCGCTGACAAAACTCCGAGCACCACGATTCCACATTCACTTATAAAACCACTCGGTCTTCGTGATGAAGAGGTTTAACAAAAAGCAGCGCCATTTCGCAGTTGCCGAACTCGAACGACTTCAGGTTTCTAATTCATAAACGTAACATTCTCAATGTGCGCTGTTTCCCAATAAGCCAATCAACTTGTAAGAAACGTCATCGCAGTAGCGTTAAACCGGTTTTGCGTAATAATTCGTAAATAAATCAATATTTCGATCTGCGGTGAGGGAAAAGTATGTCAAAAGTATCTGATTACGTGGAAATTTTATTACCGATATAGATGAGCTTGACGTGAACAAGCAAACAACTGAGAGTCGGTCTCCTTGCGCCTCGACAGTGCAGCCTTAATATTTCATTTCGATTTGCTTTATCCATGACGCAGATTATCGTATAGATTTGTCTATCATTGAAGCAGTCCTAAGGGTATTGCGCTGCTTCCGTAAATTAATTCATAGTGCAATTTCGCTTTCATGTTACATCAATATCTGCCATCGATGGACTTGAAAGTGGCATATGAAAAAGTTGGTATGTCATCAGAGTTTTCTTGCTATTTCGTTGTTTGATTTACTTGCTATGGTTACTAAAGAAATTCACTGATAACTATTATTTACCATCTCCTTGCAGTGTCCACTCAAAAAGTCATTGCTTTATTCAATTTCACTACGCTGAGTAAGTCTGTATGTGTAAATGACAAACTCACCATTAACGAAAGATCTTTTAAGGACTGGTAGCCTTCCACACATTCATGCCTGCTTTATCAGCCTAACCCAAGGCATTCGCACTGACGTGTTTACGAGTGATTAAATAAATTCAGTCCTAAAGTCGTCAAATAATTTCAGTTCTGATTCATCACGCTAAGATTCCACAGGCAAAGGCAAACTGCTTGAAGATCTTTCACGAAAGAGCAAACTTGACAGTCGAAATCTGCAAGAACTCACAATTTGGCAGCTGATCAAGTAATTGAGAGGCTCAATCGCATAACGCACTGTAGTTTGACTTCGAACTTAAAAGGATGCCGAGTTCGAGTCTCAGAGCGGAGTAAAATTTCGTATTAATTGCTAATTCCCTCGAGTAACGAATTTACTCCACTGTACTTCCGTGCAACCAGTTCAGACACGGGTAGCAAGTCGTCGGCGTGCGGACAGTATGGACAGCAGGGTGTTTTGACGTAGTCATTACAGAGCTTTCGAGATGTACAGTCGTGCTATTTAACGCGTGCACTTTACAGTTGTACATCACCATGACTCACCTGATAACTGACTAAAAATCACTACACAGTATAAATCGTAAACTTCAATAATAAGCGTAACGTAATTGTTTAAACTTTGTTTAACTTTAGATAATGACCACAACAGCCTTCAGGTGAAAAAACATGCTACGAACTTTGGCAAATGCTTGGTGTTTGGAACGCTGTGACACAATGGCTAAGAAATCGGCCTTGAACTCCGGAGGTCTGGGATTCGAACACTCTCAAGGGACGTTCCTTGTCCTTACCACAAATTCAACTGAGCAACGAATTAATTCTACGTTGCTTCGGCGCGATCTGCCGAGAACCGGACAGTTAATCGGTGATTTGCGTATAGTAGGGACAGCATGATATTCTAATCTGTTCTGTTCTTAGTGAACGAAGTATAATGCCATGCTGTTCGATAGAGGCCCTAAGTGCAATTCGCTTTGACGCACGTGATAGCTGCCTATTAGTACAGGGGGCAACCCGATTTTTAAAGAACATGGCATATTTCGACTATGAAGTTGTGTCTTTGACTATCTTAAGAATTCGTTTTGGAAACGACTGGAATCGATCATTAAATTCGATATTGCAAGCGAGAATATCAAATTGTATGTCACTTTATATGTTGTATTAGTAATTGAATATTTTTTAAACTTCACTTGCCTTACTGAGCAAAACGAGAGACTGTGATAAAATTCATCCTCCATAAAGGTTACCTTGTCATAGCTTCATCTCAGGTGTGTTTGCCTCTTTGCAACGTCTTAAGCCTTACTTTTTCCAGTGCTTTGCTTGGGGCATATACTGCCATACATCACTAAATTGTTCAGTCCATCGACTCATTGTGACTTTACCAAACTGAGTCAAAGCAGCGGTTAATCGAGTTTGCCACAACATGCAACATGTTGTGACGTTCACTGATCGATGGCCACTTAGCCGCTTAACCTTTCAGGATGCGCAGGCAGAGGCGTCAGACAATGTTGCTGACGTTCCCGATCCTGTGCAAGCGTCTGAACCTCAGCAGAAGATAATCCAAGTCTGGGGCAGAGTATAGACAATTGCTCCACGTCAGTTTTCACCATCCCGAGGATTTAGCCACTCAATTTAGCAAGTTGCAGCTTTGACTTTTCAATCGCTCCATGAATCTCTCAGATATCCTAATTCCAGACCATCTCAAGACGCACTGAGCTCAGTGATTTGTTTCAAAAAGCTTATTTTCGTCGCTTGCACCTGGAATCGAAGTCTTCCAGTCATGGTCCAGGATTCATGACCATAGGTAAGTACTGAGTTGATGATCGACTTAAACATGCAGCTTTTTGAACATACAGCTGTACAGCTTCTTCTTCAGGTTCAGCTCTGCTTTAATGACAGTCGTTCGGGCTAGTTTACGCAGAACGCCATTGGTTATTTTAATTCGCCGATCTAGTTAGTCGATCTCTTCCTCACTAGTAAATATGCTTTCCTCACTAATTTTCCCTCACTAGTAAATACGACTCCGAGGTATCTGAATTTCTCATTTTCAGTCATGGTGCACGACTCATGGCCGTACGTTAGCATGGAGATAAAGATCGACTTGAATATCGAGAGCCTAGTTTTCAGACTGAACTCTGCTGTTTCAGACTCAACTGTTAGTCACAATGGTTTGGGCTAGTTAAAGCAGAACGCCACTGGCTACTACAATTTGCCGATCGATCTCTTCCTCAAACTTTCCATCATTACTGAACAGGACTCCGAGGTACGTGAACTTCTCCACCTGCTCCACTGCCTCTCCATTAATCTGAAGAGAGCAACGGGCAGGAGAACAAGAAAGCACTAGGCTTTTCGTTCTAGACGCGTTCACACGCACGCCGGTCACGGTCACGTCGCACTCGACTGCGAACTTTTTTAGGGAGCATTGAAGATCAGTTTCAAAAGATGCCAGCAAAACCAGGTTGTCTGCAGAGGCAATACTTCGCGCCCAAACATGTCGTATGCTGTACCAAATATTCTTTATGCTGACTGCTTCTGCCCGCCTTACCCAAGTCAAACACAAACAGGAGTCAGAAAAGAACGCACCGATGGAGGAAACTAGTGACAACATGAAAAGGTCTCCACTCAACGCCATTTACTCCTATGCAGCATCTGCTATCAATACATACTGGGTGGATGACTCGTAACAAAAAATCATTGATCTAATGTTTCTGCAAGCAAAATGAGGGCCAAAATATCTTTACCGATTAGTTTGCGATAGGTTTCGATGGCGGCAGATAAAAATGTTCATCTGCCTTCTTCTACTTCCGTCACCGCCGCAGTATCTGCTTAAGCGTGTAAGTCGTTTCCTCGTTTCCATGCAGGCAACCGTGTGTCACCGTTGATATCCGCATTGCTCGACATCGCCAGTACTTTAGTAACGCTCGTCCGGTCGTTGGCACTTGTCAGAAACGCAAACCATGTGTCTATTCTGAGGTGAACGATCCGCAATTACGCGTGTTCGCTGCGATCGCACGCAGGCAAATAAACAACTGCATTTGTCGGCTTTTTTTGTACTGCCGAAATGAGTTCGCCGCTTCGCCGCCACTGGAAAAACATTTCTAGCCTCACCGATCTGTTCGAAAACTGGCTGCGACTGACTCGAACCACGGTCGTGTCAAGAGTACGGCCTGAATGTTTATTTGATTCGAGCTGCGATCATCTCTAACCGTCCGCCCATGTTGTTCAAGATCTCCGGCCGACGTTTTCTTTCAGTCATTCGACGGCTAGTCCCATAAAGCAACGGTTGGCGCAATGCCGACGGAACGGTTCCGCGCCTAACGCAGACCTGTCACTGTTTTGCCTTTCTCATACTTAATACTGCCCGGTAGAGTAATATCTAGTGCAAATCTTTGACTGGCGCAATAGTGCTAGCGAGTTCGTCGAATATAATCCCTGCCTCCCTTTCCTTTTTGGGGTACTGACAAAACACGGAAAAATGGCATAATTCTTTAAATGACTTTACTGTTCTTTACTCCTGACACGTCTCAGGCAGCATCGTTTTTCGTCAGACCGTTCATGACTTTTAACAGCCTTGTTCGAATCATGTAGAGTACGCCAATGATTGAGGAAAGATGAAAACAACATTCGGCAATTAGTACTGTTGTTTGGATAGTAAATCTTAAGGTTCTATCGATACCAGGCAACCTGCATAATGGTCGAATGACCAACAACTAATTGATTACTCATTGCATAGTATCCAATCGCACAGAACAACAATATATTTAACGCTTTGCAGAGCAAAAGCAAAATCGTCAAATCAGGGACTGCGAAAAATCAGACAGAGACAATCTGGTTCTACTGCCTCGTACATGTCGCAAACATATCTACTAGATATTGCACAAATATCTCAACAAGCCATATGCCATGAACAGAACAACAGACGAGAGGAGAAAAACTAACATACTGAGAATGGCTACTCGATATGGCCATCCCTTTTTCTGATCTACATTTTATATAAAGTAGGATGATGTCGAAGAATAGTAATTTTCTTTAAAGGTCTTGTAGATGAGGAACATCATTCTTGCCACACCAAACAGCAACATCGACAATAAACTTAGTACGGCGTTTTAGCCACATAAAGCATCATTAATCTATGCAAATGTTCTATTCTGATTCTATTAAGCTTTTGATGCGAACAACGATATTTTATTCTCCAGATACGCCAACCAGCTTTGTATTACATACACACTGTTTCCAACAAAAATGGACATAATTACTGTTGTGTTTCCAAAACGTTCTGACACCCTTCAAAGGACG